ATTGGTATATTATAAAGAAGGTTTTTTCCCTAGAGAGAACAGGGAAAGTGTTGGGTCCCACCCCCCACAAACCCCCCCAGCACCCCGGTGGGGTTGGGGGAATTCTGGGAGTTGAAGTCCACACATCTTCCAGTTGCCAAGGTTGAGAAACACTGGTATAGAACACAGAGCATACCGATAGGTGTATATTATATAGAGAGATTGGTTACTGAATGGAGGCTCAGTTCTCAGTTTCTTGTGGGCTTCTTGCATTGTAACACCAGAGGCTTTACATCTTGGTTCGAAACACGCATTGCAAAATGCATGGCAGAATTGCATGCTATTTTCTGGTATTTGGGATGGCTCTATATAGAGTCAACCTATCAGGGAAAAGTTGTTTCATGGTGTAGTGGGTAAAAAGGATGCAAGTATAAACATGCTTCTTTTGCATCATTTATGTAATTACTGCAAAAAGAATACTGTAGTCCTACTGCATGAGTTGCACACACTTTCCTCTGGCTTCTTTTGTGCAGGCTTTGAAACTCCCACACGTGGATTACATAGAAGAGGACTCTTATGTGTTTGCTCAGAGCATTCCCTGGAACCTTGGCCGGATTGTCCCAGAACAGGACGAGCTGAATGAGTATAATCCCCCCAGTAAGCCACCCCTTTCATCTTTTCCACATTTTTCAGAAGCAGACAGAGGCCCTCTGTCAAAAGCAGTGGACATTTATTCCGACAAGAATTGGAGGAATGGGATACAAATTCTGCCTGTGAGCTTGAGTCAAGTTGAGTTTATTCTTCATTAAGGATTATAGAACTAAGTCTTGCTAGTCTAGTGAATGGACAGCAGGATGTCCAAGAGATGCGACAGTTGTTTCCTTCAGAGGCAACTGCTACTGCTCTCCAAACTCAAAATCATTGATCCATTTTAGCCTCTTCCAGGAGATACATTTAAGGAAGACTTAAAAAATAAACAAAAGCCTTATTTGGAGGAGAATGTTCTAGCTTAATCAGGGTAACACCTGAGACTGGAGACCTTCCAACTCTCTTGGAGCTTTTGGACATCACATTTTTGAATAGATATGAACAAAAAAGGAAACATTGGAATGACTAGAGCAGATTGAAAAGCCTTGGTGATAGAAACAGAGTTAACCCCAATGAACAGTTTATTAGCTGGACATTTTCTCCATTCACTGATGCTTGCAGGATTCTTAAGGGTTGTTCTTATGCGTGCTTTGTAAATTGCTTGGTCATCTTAGAGATTTCTTTTTATTTATTTGTCCTTAGGCTAAATGTTGATCATGCAGGCTAACTTTATGTAAGGATTTTTGAAAAAAAGGGCTTTTGGAAGTTAAGTTGGAATGGGCATATATTGTGAGAAGAAAGCAGGAAGAGTGATCTGTTACTATTGCTACAGTTTTTTGGAACTGCATTTTTCCTCCCCTGCTCCTAATATTCATAGTTGGAGAAAGGCTCATTTTGGTGCCAATGGGGACTTTTCACCAATTGCCAGTGGAAGTGTGTTGAGGACAGAGAGTAAAAATCATTCATGCTATAGTCCCAGCCACACCTTCCCACTTCCAAGCTATTTTTTTAAAAATCAGCTTCACAGTGACAAACTATATTGCAAACATTATGTCCATGTATTGGCTGCAATCCACAGTTCACCTTTTATTATCCAGATTTTAAGTCTGACCTTCTGATATAGGATCACAATATTTAACTCATTTCAAACTCCTTCCATTGCTAAGGTACAAGATAAATTCAGATTAAGACCGACCTTCCACTGTTGTAGTACTTGGCTGGATAATTTGATTATGGAATTCAACACAATCAAGTTTGATCTCCCTGAATATTGGCAAACAAATTAAAATGAGAAAAGCATTTAATTATTGCAATAAGCATCTTGGACATATCCTTCTGGTATCATTGATTCTCTCTGTAGATACTGGTGAACTGGTTGAGGTTTATCTGCTAGATACTGGTGTCCAGAGCACACATCGGGAAATAGAAGGCAGAGTATTTGTGACTGAGTTTGAGAATGTCCCTGACGAAGATGGCACTCGCTTTCACCGCCAGGTAGGTACATTTTTTTCTGGTGGCAGGAGATTCCAGGAGTGGTAATTTCCATACATCTGGAACATCTGGTTCATAAAGGTTGACTAGGTTCTACTTTTATAGTTATAGTGTCAAAACCCAATCAGTAATAACAAACCTAATTCTTAACTCCTTAGAGCACTTCATGGAAATGTATTGGATCATGCATCTATGATGGTGCCTCCCTGGACCCATTGTATCTAATTAAATCTGTTATGGGTTTTATTCCTTCATTAGAATATGCTGGTGAAGTGAATCATTTGGGAAATGGGTGATAGGTAGAGTTGGCTATAACTCTTTCTCTCTGCCCAAGATATTGGAATCATCTGTTGTTTGGCATTTCTTTCTCCATCCAGAATGTAGAGGTTCCAGGTTCAGGTACTTGTTCCTCCTAGGAACTGATGCACTGGGCAAGAATGTCAGGTGGATGAGTCTTAAAATGTTTTTCATTAATACCTATAATTAAACTCTAGTTTACTTTTAATTTTGCTAGTTGAGAGTTGCCTTGACTGCTGTTTGATTTATAAATTCAAATTATTATTATTATTATTATTATTAGTGTTTGGGCTTGCAATAGGCACAAAACTTTGCATTTATGCTCTCTGGCAGGCCAGTAAATGTGACAGCCATGGGACTCATATGGCAGGAGTAGTGAGTGGAAGGGATGCTGGGGTAGCCAAAGGCGCCAACGTCCGCAGCCTCCGCGTGCTCAACTGCCAAGGAAAAGGCACCGTAAGCGGCACACTGATTGGTGAGTAGTGGCAAGTGTGGTTTCTAACTTTGCCAAAATCAAATTCATCCTCTTGTTTTTATATGAATTTGCAATTAGTCATACATTTTTGTGAGCACTTCTCTCAATTTTATTTGCTTGTAGGTGTGCATTTTTGCAAAGAATGTTACATAAAGTATTTCTACAGTATACTCTTTCTCCTAATACCTATTTTTGACTGAATGTTGCTTTAATATAAATACAATATTGTGTCCTCTTTCCACAGACTCCCTGTGATCACATGCACCCTGTGCCCTCTTTCCCTGGCCTTTCTGAGCTTGTGCCACACCAAACACCCCCTCCCCAACCCCCCTGCGGCACCCCCACGCTCCTTACCTGGGACTCCCTCCGCTTCCTGCTTAATGACTCACACATCTTGGGTTATCATGACAACTGGGACTGCCTGGATTGCCGTCACTAAGTGATGCGGTCGAGTGACGTCACGCTTTATGATCGCATCGCTTAGCGACAGCAATCCCAGTACCAGTTGCAGTTGCAGTCGTTACTCGAGGACTCCCTGTAAATAATTGGACAGTGTTTGGAAATAGGCCCCAAAAGAAAGCAATGGCAAACCACTTCTGTGTTGTAGCCTCCAAAAGCCACATGCATCTATCTGTGTGCTCACTAGGAATCAGGTTCCATTAGAAAGGATTAATACCTTTAATATCTGTGTTGAGTCAAGCAAGGTTTTAGACTAGTTGCAAGATTTGGAGTTTATTAAAAGTGTTTGTTGGGCACTGTGGTTGAAGGTCAGAGAAAGGAAAGGGGCAAATACATTTGGCTGATGTTAGAATAATCTTAACTTCTGAAAGGAAAGGGGGATGTATGTGCTGGTGGAGAGGCTCTAATTTGAAAAGTGCTTTTTCCAAGCATTGTCTGGGAAACAAACAATTAAATGGTGCTTATTCATTATCTTTTCATAAATGCATGCATATATCTGGTCAGGGTTTAAGATACGAGTTTGATTTGTTTTTTACTTTTAAAAGGTGGAAAAAGAAAGAAATTATTTCTCAGATTTACATGGTTTCTTTCTGGGCTTTCTGTGTTCCCCGGGACTTTATTCCTTTCTGCATCTTTCTTGCTGGGAAAGAAAGTATGGAGAATCACCTTTGAAAAAAGAGCCAGAATGCTCTTCCTGCTTGTATCTTTCAATTGGGAATTTCTACTGAGTAAAAGAGATGCAATGGGGTAACACGCTTTGGGGGGAAGTATGCTAAGTTCTTTGGCCTTTGCCCTCCAGGGCTGGAATTCATTAAAAGGACCCTGGCTGTCCAGCCCTACAGTCCTCTGGTTGTTTTGCTCCCCTTGGCCGGCAGCTACAGCCGCATCCTGAATGCCGCCTGTCGCCTGATGGTGCAGATGGGGGTGGTCATGATAGCTGCAGCAGGCAACTACAAAGACGATGCTTGCCTGTACTCCCCAGCAGCAGAACCAGAGGTAAGTAGAGAATGAGGTCTTCCTTTCAGCCCAAAACCCATGGGAAAATGGTCCAGAAATTGTTTGTGATCAGCAAGACTCCAGTTCAGCTCATCAGGATCTGCCTGTTACCTGCTGACGTTGCCTTAAATGCAGGGTTTTTCAGTTGACACATTCAGTGATGGATCACATGCACCACCTCATTTAGCATATGAAAAGATGAGGAAAATTATGAAGCCTCACCTATACCACTCTCTCTGGCTGTCACGTATTACAGTGGAAACACTTCCCTGCTGCCTATGTGTGTGGATGGTGTGGATCAGGTCTTCTGTATGCTTGTAGAGTGCCAAGATGTCAGCAGGACACTGGCTTATGCAGTCTTCCACGTGGTCCTTTCTCTAGCTGCCTAAATGCCCAGATGCTGTGTTTCTGTTGTCGGTTTGGTGGTGATACATGTGATTGTGGTACGTAACCACAATAGAGAGTAGAGCTAGCCTATTTGGTCCCACAGTCCCCTTTGCACTTTATTTTAATCCGGCATGAATGTTCCTCTGGAGTGCCCTGATGTAATACAAATATTTGTGTTTGTGTGAAGCTGGCCAAGCTTAAGTGGAGTGCCAGAATTTCAGGGCAGTGAAGGAACTGTCTGATACTTGTATCCTCAGTATAATTAAAATCATGCAGTCTTTTCTGATAATGAAAGAATGCAAGATCAGGTTTAGGTAGTACCCGGAAAGGAATTTGCCTGGGATAATGGATTCTTTAGGGAAGGGATTTTAATTTCATGATGTCAACATACTTTTCCTGCAGAAGATCCCAGGTTAAATACTTGGCAACAGAATTTCAGTCAGGAGCTTTTTCGAACCATATCTGGAAATTCTGGAGAGCTGCTGCTGAATCAGTGGTTGTGAGCTAGCTGGGCCAGATAGACAGACTTAATCTAAGCCAATTTATTTGGTTCCCTTTTTATGTTATAGTCCTCTCAAGGAATCATCTAATGGGGAATGCTTACACACCAATTCTCTAGGTGATATTTTAGAAAAAACTAGATTTTGAGTGGAAAGAGAAAAGCATGAAATAATAATTGCACAATATTTTTGGTATTTCTGTGTGACATTTTCCTGTGTAGCTACACACCTCTGATCAGTTCAGTCAAGAAAATCAGTTATCTAGGAAGATAGGGAGGCTTTCTCTTGGTGGAAAAGCAGGGATTGAAGAGTCATTGTAGAGGATTTTAGCTTTGCATTTATTACATTGAATAGAGTTAGGCTAAATGGCCAACAAGTCTCCCTCCAACTATGGAGGAAGAATAACACATAGTGGAACTATGCTGGAGCTGGAGGAAGATGACAAGGAATCAGTCTTTGTGATCCTTCCTTCCTTCAACAGTCCTCCTGGTTCTTGAAAAAAATGCTCTAAAAGGCTTAGAGAAGCTACTGGAGCAACATGAAGAATGACAAAAGCAAGAAGAGCTGGTGAAGAATATCTTCCCTCCCTTTCCTTAAAAGTAGATGTCTTTGCTGGATCCAGACACGGAATGGGAGAAGCCTATTTGTTCATAGGTCCAACCCTATGATTTTGACATTCTGTATCTACTATTTGGTCAGGGCTGACAAGATGCTGCCTTATTGTAGGTTATTACAGTCGGAGCAACCAATGCCCAAGACCAGCCTGCATCTATGGGGACTTTGGGAACCAACTTTGGGCGTTGCGTAGATGTGTTTGCTCCTGGAGATGATATCATTGGCCCCTCTAGTGATTGCAGCACCTGCTTCACATCGCAGAGTGGGACATCCCAAGCAGCTGCCCACATCGCAGGTAATATTTTATGACAGAAATATGAAAAGTCCAGCAAGTTGCTTAGCTTGTCTTTATTACAATGAGCTTTTCTCAGGAGGAACTATCCGTAATGTATGCTCTGCTCAGTGACTTTGAGACAGGCATGATGAGATTTCCATGAGTGAAAAACAAGTCTTTTTTCAACTTCATTAAAAATAGACTCTCAGATTTACAAAATCCAAACCTATAGAACAGTGTTCTAGAACAATACTTTATTTTTTTTTCTGTATAATTAGATTTGATTCCTGCTGGGATATATAACTTCCTACTTAGGTTCTATTTTCAAGCTGACTAACAAGGGAGATGCGGCTATACAGTATAAACATAGATAAAAACAAGTGCATCTTCTGTGTTAGCCAACATGCCGCTCATGAAGATCTTTGGTTGTTGGTACTTCAACCAATTATAGTTATTTTATTAAGGATCTGGGTTGGATTTTTAAAAATTTGTATTGTAATTTAATCAACTATTTTAACTATTTCTCTTTGCTACATTTATATTTAAGAAACGTATTTGTGTTTATTTTTTCTTTATCCCAATTGGTCAGTTGTAATTTAGCGCACTTTTGCGCTTGATCCCAGACAAACTCACTCAGCTGCACCTGAGGCTCTTCCAAAACAAGACAAAGGGAAATACAAGCAAAAGTCTACAACATCCTTAATCAATCCACTGGCCCCATAAAATATAGAGGTAATGAAAATGTACAGGTTGTACCAGTTTATTGGCTGTCCTCCCACATTCTTGGGTGTTGCACAGGTGGGCAAAACAACAGCCCTGGTGTTTTTCCCTTCAGGTTTGATTCCAGTGGAGTACCATTATAAGAAAAGACTTCTGAGATCACCACAAACTTTCCCTTTTGCATGCTCATTCTTCTCTTCTCCTTCTCTCTCTGCGTACATGCATAAAACTTGAGTCTGTTCCAGCAGCTTTGTACAAGTACAGCCTTATGCCTTCAAGTGGTTGGGAAGGATGGTGTGTTTGTGAGTGCGAGTGATATTTTGATAGTGGCATGGTTTACAGATGATCTGGCCCCAGGCTGGCTGAGCTCAGTTAAGCAGTAACTTCTCTCAGCCTCATATCTCCCCATTAAATGGCTACATGCAGCCTGAGGAGGACTTGCTGTGCTTTTAAAATATAGATTCCCCCTACCTCTGCAGAAATAAAAGATATAGCTTGAGGGATAAAAAAAAGTGTTTGGGTATGTAACACAAGTTGTTGAGAATAGACAGTGGAATCAACTGGAGGAAAGATGTCCCAGATGGCTGAATAATTTGTAGTTACAATTAGGAGAAGAAATAAACACGTCTTAAGCAGCAAACAGAGTACCGAAAAGAAATGTGGACATTTCCAGTGAGTTCATTGGGAACAGAAGCTTCTCTGCTTCTTTCACAGACTCACTGGTGGCTCTGGCCCTTGAAATGAAGGAGGCAGCTTTTGAGGATTAAGGTTTGTGCTCACAGCAAATTCTTGAGCCAAAATGGCAACTGAAAGGAGGGGAAAACTCTGCTTGGAGCTGTGGCTGCAGTTTTTAAAAGTATCTTTTCAGCTCCTGTGGGCCATGGCAGGGCACGGGAGTAATGCATTGATGTCAGTGGAAGAAGCAGGGGTAGAATTTATTTATTTATTTGCATTTGGGCTAAGGAAGGTAACATTGAAATATTAAGCCTATCAGGGCTTAAAGATGCCTTTTTTTGTTCTTAAAGAATGAGCAAAAGATCACACAATTGTTTGCATCACCTTGGTTAGCTCCAGGAGCTACAAGAACAAAGCAACTGCTATTCCCATCTTTGCAATGCCCAGCAGTGTGTCAGGACATCTAATTAAACTGGTACAACTTGTGCATTTTCACTGCAACTATGTTCTATGGGGCCAACGGATTGCTTAAAGAAGTTGAAAACCTTTGCCTACTTTTACCTTGTCTTATTTTAGAAGAGCCACAGGGACAGCTAAGTAATTCTGTCTGTATTCTGCAATCAAGCTAAGCAAGGTTAGTATTTCTTGATCCCATTGGTTTCCATGGGAGATATTTAAGCCCATAATGAAACTGACTTGTGAGAAACTGAACTGATTTTTAGGATCCAGAGTAACATTTAACTGAGAATGGGATGGGGACTTTTTGTTGATGGAAAGGCCTCTATATATCTATATAAATCCAACACCATAGTCACTTTTCTGAGCACATTCAGGCATAGGAAGAAAACTATTTGATTGAAAGCTGCCAGTGTTTTAAATCAAACTGGCCTGATAAAACATTTATTGTCCATTAATTTATTATGAGCTTTAATCACAAAGCAGAAACACACGAGAATGGGAAGAAACCATGAAAACAGAGGATATCCACATATGTAACCTTTTAAGCCATGTGGATAAAGACTGGTGTAACTCTGAAGTACACGGAAATGTTACTGGAGCATTAATTCAAATTAGTATTTGAAGACCATCGTTGGTCCTTGCTTATATTATTCAAACGTGCACACACACATACATCATCCCTGATTCAGGCAGGAGGGTTTGAGGATGATTTTTTTCAAGGAAGCCAGAAAGTCAAACTGAGCAGCAGCTTGGGCATAAGAGTTGCGGGGAAAGTCTGCATTTGTATTCTGGTGCCTCAGATCCAGCCAAGCAACAATCAGTATCATTTGAACTTCCTTTAAAAAAACCACACATGCATACAATATGATTTTGCAGTATGTTGTCTAGGGCGTTCATAAAATTATACAAATATAAATTGTAAAAATACATCACCTAATCCAGCTTCATATGTGTATAGTATTTTGGGGGGATAATGCAGAAGAGGGTTGCTTGTTGTCCTAGGTATTGCAGCCATGATTCTGAATGCCAACCCTGCTCTGTCCATCTCTGAGCTGAGACAAAGACTGATCCACTTTTCTGTCAAAAATCTTATGAATGAGGCTTGGTTTCCAGAAGACCAGAGGCTGTTAACACCAAACAGAGTGGCTGGGCTTCCGTCCAAACTGGTAGCAGGTGAGTGACCTGTTGATATCTTCATTCGTACAGTCCCGAACATCTCAGATCCTGGTATAACTGTTGGCCAGAAGTCTGGCTAAGTTTGTTCACCTGGCGTGAGAGAGCCAATGTCCACACAGAGTCGAGGGGAAGAGAAACTCTTTATTTCTATACAGAGGCAGAGAGAGGTGCACAGGGGCTGTGCCCAGCAAAAAGCGCGCCCACCGAGTTCAGTGGGCTACATTTTATAGCATTCTCTACAACATTAGATACAATCTCATTGGCAAGCATGATCATGTCAACCTACTAGGTGGGCTTTCTTGCAGTTGCCATACGGAACTCCCTAATTTCCTTATTCTCCATCTTGGGGGGTGCACTTAATGAACTATGCGTCCCACCTCTGGATGTGTTTTTAACTATGCTAATAATGAACTTTGGTGCTCTTTGTGACCTACATACAGGTCCTTGGCCTACATAAGCAAGCAAAACCACTAGATGGGCCATCTTCCGCTTAACTTGTGCTAGACAGAAAGAGCTTAACACAGTGTCCTTTGTTTCCTGCTGAAGGAAACAAAGACAGATACCTGTCTGATACCAGCCTTTCGCTAACAGCTTCTTAAAGTGCTATGCCTGTGAACTAAGTAAAAGTCAGAACATCTGCAAATAGGCTACTTCTAACAGAGAATTCCAACATCAGGACCTCAGAACCATATGTGAACTTTTTTTGTGTCTTCAAGCCAGTCTTGGGTCCTGGCAACTGCCTAGATAAGTCCATGTAGTTTTATTGGCAATATTTTTGGTAGTGGTTTGCTATTGCCTCCTTCCAGGGACTGAGAGAGACTGACCCAAAGTCACCCAGGTGACTCATGCCTAAGGCAGGACTAGAACTCATGGTCTCCTGGTTCTAGTTTGGTGCCTTTAACCACTACACCAAACTGGCTATTTGAATTTAGCTGCTTCCTATTCAACCTGATTATAACTGAATATGGACTCTAAGCCTGGAGCAATTTTTTTACTGTCTTCATTGGGCAAAATCCTCAGAAACTAGAAGACTATTCCATGACATTGAATTGGCCTAATAAAACTATTGCCCCAATTTATATTTTGAATGTTTTTTTACAGCCAAGCACAGTTTTGCTTCTTATTTCTAGTGACTGCCAATTATTCTTATTCTTATCCCAATTCCATTAATCACGTGTCACAACATGTTCTTCATGATTTGAGCTCTACCAAGATCTTGGATATTGTAAAGATAATATCTGGGTATGAGATGCTCAACAGTACTGTCGGTTGTGGTTGGTCTGTTGTAAGTTGTTCTAAATTTAGGCAATCCAAATTATTTCTAAGTTCTTATGATATTGCACCTAGTGCCCCAATAATTGATACCACTGTTGACTTCTTCCAAATGTTTGTGATCTATATTTGCAAATCTCCACATTTTGTAATCTTTTCTGATTTCTTGTCTTCAACATTACTACCTCATGGAATGAATACATCAATAAACCAAACATGATTCTTTACAAAGACAGTAATGGGTGGTGTATTATGTTCCAAGAGTTATCAGTCTGAACTTTAAAATCCCATAAAATTTTTGCCCTGTGATTTTCAGTGATGTTATCTGCAATTTCCGGTTTCCAGTAATTCTTAATTGATGGTGAATCTGTACTCTTGACAGAAATGCCAGTGTGATATTTTCCCAACTCAAGCATGCCTTTTTTGTAATCAGTCTTTGTGATTTTTCTGTATCCAGTTATTACATGGCCAGTGGTTTCATCCTTGGCACAATTGGCATTTACTATCTAAACTGATCTTTTCTGCTTTTGCCTTGGTGATTTTTGTATGTAGTGCTTGTTCTTGGGCAATAAAAAGCATTTCTTCTATTTCCCTTTTTTAATACATCATTCTTAAGTCACTGCCATGATTTGCTGCATGAATTTTCCTTCATATCTTTCAAGGAAGATATTGGTTTGATTTTCCAATTTTCTAACCTCATTTCAAGCTGCTGCTTTTTATAGTCATTGAGATTCCATTTGTGCAAATAGCCTTTCTTTCTGAGTTTCTTTCAATAAAGCTTTGTTATTGTCTTGATGTAATCATTAAGCCTTTGTTTCTCTTCCTCTATTTTACCTGTAATAAGTGCTAGCCCACCAGTCTTCCTTGGAAGATATAATCTGTCAATAACAGTAGGAGGGTATAGGGCATTATTCATAGGCATCAATTTTCTGATTTGCTGTCAAGATTAACAAGGTTCATCTAAGTTTAGTTGAATATTGCTGTGGTAGATCTCATTATTGATATTGCCCAGGAGTTGGCTGTTTCCACCATTTAGATTAGACTTCAGGATTTTCTTTAACCTCTTGCATTATTTTGAGTTTACAATATTTTTCTTTTTATTGTACAAAATATCTGATGTTTTCAAAATTCCCAAATATTTATAAATTTAGTCAGGTGCTAGACCATTGATACTTGTTTCATTTAAGAGTTGAATACTTTCTTGTGAGTTAAAGATTTTACTTTCTTTACTTCAGTCATCGCACATTTATCAAGTCCAAATTGTATTGCAATATATATATTTGGACCCACTCTCTCTCTTTAGAAAATCTGTTAACCTCTTTCACCAGTCTTTTAACTGTTAATTTTTTTGTACCTATTTTACTGTTAATTTTAATCTATATTTGTAACTTTAAAAAATTGATTTAATTTTTTAAAAAACTCTGCCTTTTGGATATTGAAATATATTTGCTAGAATAGAAAGGCAGAATAGAAATCAAATCAAATCAAATCGCAACTAATCTGCTACCTCCAAATGGCCAATTTTGCAACCCTAATGGTCCTCAATCAGTTCTTTGCAATGGTTTTATTCATGTATTGTGCTCAACTACAATGTGATTTGTTTAATTTTAGCTTTAAGTATCATGTGAATCCAATCTTTACAATTTTTAAATCTTGTTTTATGGCAAGAATGGCCAAGCTTTTCCACCTTTGCCATCAGTCCTCCTTGGGGATCACAGAAGATGTGTCTGTGATATAGCGATGTCACTAGATGTCAGCCCTACTAGGTAGGCCAGACTAAGAAACAGACACTATGCAGATCTAAGCTTTTATTAGAACAGCTACAGCAACAGAATCTTGCAACCCTGAATGTGCTATCTTTCCTCCCTCTTTTACCTTCATGAGAATGGGGCTGGGGTGGGAAACTGTCTGAGGTGTTTTTGCAAATTACTTCTTGGCCTGGACTCAAGTTTAATTTATCTGATCATTACCTTGGCAGTGGATCTGCCATCTGTCCTTCAAGGCCATTCTCTTTATCCACTATACAAGGTGAAGTTAAAACTTTTGGTCCTCTTTGGCATTTGGAGAATGTTGTTGGGGGGGGGGGCCTAGGAACCCAATTCCTGCCTTTTTTTCAGGGTTATTAGGGTTAAAATAATGCAAAACCAAACTAGGCATTTTACCCCCAAAGCTCAGCACCTCTGGTTTATGGCCATTGTGACTTATTCAGTAACTATGTGTGTTAGCACAATGTTTTTCTTGAAGATATGATCTTTCCAAGTGATTGAACTACAGTCCTCTTTGGCATTTGGAGAATGTTGTTGGGGGGGGGGGGGCTTAGGACACTAATTCCTGCCTTTATTTCAGTGTTATCAGGGTTAAAATAATGCAAACACAAACTAGGCATTTTACCCCCAAAGTTCAGCACCTCTGGTTTATGGCCATTGTGACTTATTCAGTAACTATGTGTGTTAGCACAATGTATTTCTTGAAGATATGATCTTTCCAAGTGATTGAACTACAGAAATCATAAAGGCTGGAAATAGTCCTAAACAAATGGGATTCTGCTAGTCCTTAGTGGTGACCATCAGCCACTCTCTTTCAGAGGAACAGCTGTATTGTCGCTCTGTGTGGTCTTCCTTGTCTGACTCAACCAGTGCAGCCACAGCTGTTGCCCAGTGCAACAGCAATGAAGACATGTTCAGCTGCTCAAGTTTATCAAAGAATGGCAAGCAGCGAGGAGAGCACATTGAGGTAATGCTCAAGGGCAAGAATGGTGTAGTTTGCTATTTAATTTTAATTAATTTTATACGTAGATTTGCATCTCAGCAAGATATAAAAATCAGATTTGATGGCATTCCCTGTACCTTGCTCTCACTGTTGTTTTTTCTGAATACTAGGATTATGGAGGCAGGAAGGAGTGTGTGGCTCACAACAGATTTCGAGGCCAAGGTGTCTATGCTATAGCCAGATGTTGCATTTGGCCCAAGGCTGACTGCCAGGTTAATAGCCATTCACAGACCACAGAGGGCATAGCCATGAAAAGTGTTAGCTGCACCAAAGATAGCCATGTTTTGACAGGTATGTGATGACAGCTGTGATGATAGTAATTACAGAAGCAAAATGTATGATGTAGAGGCATCTTTATGTATAAGTTGTCTTGTAGCACTGAAAGAGGTCTTCTGTGCATAAGATACTATTAGCACATCAGGACTGTGTGGTAACAGTATGCAATTGGCAGCAGACTAGCTTTAGCAGCACAACACAAGCCAAAGCTTACAATTCCTGCTTCCCACTTCTTGATGTCAACTTCTAGCATTTGCCACCTTAAGTGACCACTTAAGCTGGTTAATGATACAGTTGATCCTGGTTTGAGCTTGTTCTGGGCTTCCTATTTGCCTTGTGTTACATGCCTGGCATTTCCCATCTGGTCCACTGTGAAAATATTAGAATATTCTTTGCACCCTTTGCAAAAATTCATAAACTAAGTTGGTAGTTTTATTTTCCCTTTCCTAAGGATTTTACATGTGAGAATACAAAGAATGAAGGATGTACTACATTTTATTTGCTGCACCCTCTTGGGGCTGTCTTAACTGAGACATTCTGGGATCACGTAGCAACCATGCAGCCCGAGTTTCTTTAAGGTAGAGTCCACAGTGTGGCATGCATGCCAGCACCCATTCTGAAGTGCCTTTTTGGCTTGGCACAGCACTTGCTTATAAAGGATTGTAAGAAACACCAAGCAAGCTTGTACATTTCCTCAGAGTGTTCTAGATTGGTATTGGACATTGTCAGACAAAATTGCCTGCAAAAATAACCTTGTGCAAGGTTTATGCCATGCCATTGTATAATCTTTTCAGGAGCAATAACTGATTGCTTTGGCCATTCTGGCTGACAAAAAGAGCTACTATGGAACAATGCTTTGTTGATGGGGTTCCAGCAGAATGGGAATCCCATCTTTGTCCTACCAAACATGCTATTTATAGACAATATGTGGAGCGAAAAGAACTTAAGGTATAACCCTGCTCATATGAACTGGAAGGAATAGACATCATATTGTGCAGATACCAAGAGCTTCTTCCATTCCACCATTTATTTTCTGATCCTATAGTTACATACAAAAACCAGTATCATTAGCTGTCAGTGATACTCATGTATATACTTCAGATGAATCTCCTTAAAAATACCACTGAACAAAATGCCCTAATATGATCTACACTGGCAGGCTGCAGCACACATTCTCTGGCTGGAGATATCAATGGCAACATCAGAGCTGTACAGCGGGCAGACAGTGGTCGGGCCCACTGTGTAGGCCAAGGAGATGCGATGGTGCATGCTTCCTGCTGCCATGCACCCAGCCTTGAGTGTAAAGTTCAGGAACAACCTCCTCTGGAATACCCAACAAAGGTATGTGGATATTGTTCTCTATGGCATTTCCCAGTCTAGTTATGGTAACTTGGTTCCTAAGCAGTGTAAGCTCTAAGGGATGAACTAAAATAAAGAAGAGAAAAAATTATTCTCTGCAAAACCCTTGCACAGCTGTTACAGGTTGTGCTCACGCAATACAGTTAGCCTGCTTGCTGAATTAACTCTTTTTCTTGTTTTGCACAAGGCACTGTACCACAAATTAACCAAACAGGCTGGGCTTCTGTAAAATGCTAGCCTCCAGCAACCAAACCTAAAACCAATCAAGATTAGCATTAATTAAGGTTAGCATCTTGTGTACATGCATCTGCTTGTTCTTTACCTGACCTGGTTATGTGTGTTGTGGATTCAGACATAGATATTCCAGCAATGATTCTCTATGCAGATTTGCTATAAAAGGTGGTTCTATGGAGAAAGATCAGTAGAACTAGCGCCTCAGTCATGTTCAGTACTGTATGGAGCCATCCTTCTAACAGTCATAGCAGACAGTTCTTTTTGTTTCAGTCAGCTGTTACTTCACTTCTGAAAATTTCCCATGAATCTTAAGTGATTGTAACTACATGCATCTCCACATTTTTAAAAAATTAGATATTTCAGATTCTCCATGCAGCATTTTGCAGAGCTTAACTGGCAGAAGTGAGAAAATGCTTCTGTGCTTCAGAAGCTCACAATATAATTTTCAAAAGGAAGAGGAATCAACAGAGGAAGAAAAGTCAATGACACAAACCAGGGGCAGAGAACTTCCTTTTTATATACAGTGCATTCAGAAAGTATTCAAACCCCCTTCACTTTTTTCAATTTTGTTATGTTGCAGCCTGATACTACATTAGTTCAAATTCATTTTTTTTCTCATTAATCTACACTCAGTACCCCATAACGACGAAGTGAAAACAGAATTTTAGAAATGTCTGTAAATTTATTAAAAAGGAAAAACTGAAA